TGCAGCTAGGACTGGACAGCCTTCTCTCCCCAAATGCTGATGAGGTCCAGCAGCTTGGTATTGCTCCAAGCGGGGGATTGCCTGGTGCATGGAGCAGGCATGGTTACCTGGAAAGATGTGCTGAGACCACTGCACGCATCACTGCTTTGAGCAGGGGGTTGGACTAGATGACCTCTTGAGGTCCCTTCCAACTCTGATATTCTATGATCACCAAGCAAAGGGGAAAGGGATTTGCAAAATTCCAAAGGAATTTATGGGGTGGGGATGATGGTTGGTCACCTCAAGGCAGGGCAGTAGAGTTTAAACCGATGACCAGAGAGGTGAGAACAGGCATTGTGGGACACCTCCCGCAGGCCAATCGGAGCGCTGTAATCAACCAGGGTGTCCACACTGCCACTGCAGCGCTGTAGCCCCGGTGCAGAAAGCTGTACGCTTCTCATTGGGGTGTTGTTTTTAAAGCGCTACAAGTGCACAGTTTTTGCACACTAAGTATCAGAGGGGTAGCTGTGTTAGTCTGGATCTGTAAAAAGCAACAAAGAGTCCTGTGGCACCTTAAAGACTAACAGATGTATTGGAGCATAAGCTTAGGGTTATGCAGGAGTCTGATGAAGTGGGCATTCACCCACGAAAGCTTATGCTCCAATACATCTATCTATCAGTGCCACAGGACTCTTTGTTGCTTTGCACACTAAGTGGCTTGGCAGTGTGTACACCTTGGGAGTGACAATGCAGAAAGCTGCTTTATTGCGCAGAAACTTGCCAGTGTTGACAGGGCCTAAGAGTATATGTGTGTGGGTTATATTGCAGTTTAGGTAGCCACGCATCCCCTTTTTATTGACTGAAAGAGCAATCCTAAGAGGCTTCAGAAGAAGCACTTCCCCATGCTTGGCAGACAGGGGGAGGGATGTCCTAACCAGTGCCTGACATTTGCAGGGAAAAGAACTCTGACAAGACAGCTCTGAGAATTTAATATATATACACATACATTAGCCCTTGCTTTCTAGCTGATATTTGAAGTGCTTTCAATAATAAGAGAAACAATATAACTCTAGTTATTTAGGGCTAGATTTTGCTACCCTTACTTGTTATGTAGTACCTTAATCAGCATGTAGTCCTATTGATTTCAGTGGGACTACTTGTGGAGACTGGTATTCCACAGGTAAGTACAGATAGCAGAATATGATCATTAAAGGGACTGATAGATAGAGAGGTGTCCACACAATCAGAATTGATATCACCCAGAATGTATGTGTGTTATCTCTACCTTTGGTACATCGTTGTGATTGGTTCATCATTTAATGAATTCCTATCTGAAAATGAAGTTTTCTAAGAATCCTGATTGAGCATATTTTTTTCTAAGTCTAATTATTTAACACAATATTTTTTTAAATATTAAGTAAAGGTTAGTCAGGATTCTACTTAAGTTATATTAGTTCCCGAAAGGTTTCACAGAGTTTACTTAAATCATGGCTTTTAGAAATTTAGGATTTGTACTAAACAGTTTACTCTAGCCTTCCTCACCTCCCCTACTACCTAAACTGCAGAGACACACACTCTATATACCACTGATTGGCAATCAACTTTTTGTCCAATGTTAATAAAATCAGAAATGTAAACAAATTACTTAATGGAGATGAACAAATGAGCAGCACAGGAGGTGAAGAAGTTGAAGGTGTTCTCTGAAATTCAAATGACTCACCTGTCAATTGCAATTTCGTCGTGTGGTGTGCAAAAAGCACCATTGACAGCTGCATGTCCCCTGGCTAAATCGCTTTTAAAATGTGTCCCTGATGTCAACATGCTAAGCTGCAGCTTCAATCTTCTCAAAGAGATGCTGATCGGATTATGGGCCAGGACTTTTCTACATGTCTCTTTCTCTTCCTGTCAGCTGCTCCGTGCCTCCTCGCAGCCTTTCCCTACCCAGCTGAAGGCGGGTGGCTGGGGTTTGTTTGGGGCTCTCCTTTCACACCTGGCTGGGATGAGAGCCGCAGAGGCAGGCGGACAGAAGTGGGTGTGTGCAGCAAGAGTTGTCATGGCTCCTGCATCCCAGAAGCAGAGCTAAGATGGGCTCGGAGTTTCGGATCAGCCGAACGAAACTACAGCTGCCGGGGATTTTTGTACTGCCGGCGGAGGCTTGTATGTAGCCGTGTGCGGCGGGAAAACCCAGCGGGGCTGTTTCGCTTTGGGGAGGGGGGAGCACTGGGTCTGGGACAGAGACGCGTGGCTGTCAGGCTGCGAAGGGGGGATTTCCCACCGGCCCCTCTCGCTGGAAATGTGAGAGCAGGAGACGCGCGGTGATTTCAGGGAGGCGGCGCTTCCTAGCGCGGAGCCTCCCCGGCCAGAGGCTGCGGCGGCGGGCGTCTCCGGGGCTCGTCCCAGCCTTCCCGGGAGCAGCTGGAGTTGCCGCCCTTCCCAAACACCGCCCGCGGCCCCGAGGACTCCTGCGCCCGGGACAGGACAACTCACTTAACCCCCCCGCCGCCGCGTGCAAACCCGGGAGCGCCAGGAACGCGGGGCTTTCTGCCGAGATGGCTTAAAAGTGGAGAGAAAAATCCCCCCGGTATTTGCATCGACACTGCCCTCCCCGCCCCTACACGTGTTTGGGAGACAGGCCGGAGGGAGCCGGGCCGCTGCTCTCAGGGGCTCGCGGGCTGAATTGCGGGGGGCTGAGGAGGGCTCAGGGTGTGAGTGAGCGCGGCTCTGACTGGGGGTGCTGTGGAGAAGGAGGGGGTGGGGCTTAGTGGATGTATTGGGGGTGGAGCTTAGTGAGGGGTGTGTGTGTATACATGGGGGCCTCTCAGTAGGTGAGGGGTGTGTGCGTGGGAGGTAGCTGGGGGGGGTCTCTGTGGATGAGGTGTGGGGGAGGGGTACCTGGGGGGGTCTCATTGGATGAGGGGTGGGGGAGTAGCTGTGGGGGTCTCTGTGAGGGGTGGGGGGACAAGTAGCTGTGGAAGCTTCAGTGGGTGAGTTGTGGGGGTCCCCGTGGGTGGGGGTATCTGTACATTGGGGTGCCCTCTTCCCTGTGTGGGGACTGTGAACAGTAGCTGTGTCAGTGTCCCCCCTTGGGAGGGGTGATCCCCCGCCCCCCAAGCACCTCTCCCAACTCCCAGGTGCGGTGATCATGGTGCTGCTGTCTGGGGATGGGACAGGAACTGGGGAGTCACGTGGCCCTGGGGGGAGTCTGAAGGGGGAGCAGCAGCAGGTCTGGCCCAACTCAGGGGGGGAGAAAGATGCGCAGGGCCTGGAGGGGGAGCAGCAGGAGCAGGTGGTGGCAGCGGTGGAGGAGGAAGACTATGAGGAGTATGAGGATTTCTCTGAGCTGCCCGACACCTGCAGCATCGCCTCGGATGATTCCTTCTACCCACCTTGTGCTGAGGAGGATGAGGAGGAGAGCTGGTCCCTGGGGGAGTCGGATGTCAGCAGCCCCGAGCCGCTGAGCCTCTTCCGAGCCTGCTGCACCAACAACGCCGTGGTGCTGAGGGCGCTGATGCGCCAGGGGCCCGAGGAGGAGGAGGTGCGGGAGACCGACCGCAACAACCGGGTGAGCCAAGCGTGGCCGGGCTGCAGCCCATATCTCCCCTGCGCCCTGCCGCCTCTCGCTCAGTCCCCAGCCCTGCACACAGCCCAAGCCTTGCCCCACCACTGCCCCTGGGTACCACCCATTCACACAGGTTCCCTCCTTGCCATGTCTCACCCCCCTCGCTTCACCCACTCACAGTCACACCAGAATTTTTCCACCTTCACATGCATCAGACCCCGCTGCACCATCCTGCTCAGCTTCCACCTCATACACACTCTCTAACCCTCTCTTCAGCTATCCCCCAGTCTCCTGCCCAACACAGTCTGAATGCATCCTGACCCTATGCAGATTTTATACCATGCACATCTCTGTAGCATCTGAGCTATTCTTTTCCCAGGCTCTCTGCAGACTCAGGCAGACATCACTGCATTGTTCACGCTCCAGTCACATTCTGAAGCTTTTCTTTGCACCCACAAGGGCTAGGACCTTTTAAAAAAATAATAGCTGAGATTGTGATGTAATCATGACTCCAGGATTTGGGGACTTTCCGGTGTAGACATATACTGCCTGTACCTTAATCTGACTCTGTACATCCTCTTTGGACTCCATTCTATCAGAACTAATGCAACACTCTCAACACACACCCAGACTCTCTCTCCTCAAATATGCCTTCCAAACCCCAATGTGTACAACCAACACCCCTAAAATTCCCTTTATTATGCTTCCTAAACATACACACCACACTGGTCTCTTCTGTCCTCTCCTGTCTTCCAACAACTCCCAAGACACCCAGTAATTTTGAAATACTTTTGAGTTTGGCTCCTGTATTCTTTATACGCTCTTGGCTCCACTCACACACTTTCCATATATCTCTAAAGCCATCCTTTGCCTCCCACACTACTGACTCTGCCATTCAAACACACCTGGCTATCCCACACACCTGAATTCATCCTCTGTCTCCCCATACAAATGCATGCTTCTATCACACACCCTAGTCCCTATGCCTGTCCCGACACCTGACTCTCCTATATGCTCTTTCCTCACATTCTGAAACTTACCCAGCTTCTGTAACACCCAGACATGACCCACCCCCCCCTCCCCATACTTGCTTGCTCACTCAGAGAACATACACCTGAATATGCTGGAAGTAGGAAATGAAGGCATGATGGTATCACTTGCTTTGTAGGGGTTTTAGGGAGAAACATGCATCCACATTCCTAGATGGGGTAGGGATACAGACCAAGTAGTACCCTTATGCACAAGAATGAAGGGAAAAAAACATAGACCTTAACACACACACTGACTGACATAACTTTCCACCCCCCTTTGACAAATAGGGGTCCATTTAAAAGAGAGGAGGGATGGTGGTCAAGTTTCCTCACTAAAATAAATGTTTTACTCATGAAAGTTTGAAACACCAGGTAATTTCCCAAGCTCATCTTCTCAGTTTTGTTTTTAGTAGGTTTCTTGTTCAAACAGATTTGTAGAAGGAATGACTTCATTACTAATTATTTTTATTTGCCAGAAGTAAACCAGCAGCTCTCCTGCCCCACCCCTGTCCCGGGATACTTTACATTTCTCATTATTGATCAAGGTTAATAATTTCCTCTCTCTCTTTACAATACTATTTATTTGTAGTAAAATATAAGCATTCTCTCAGCTTTGAAAATGTCAAACAAGGTTTAATGAGTTTCTATGCTAAAAACTGAGCATCTAGGAGTATTTTTTTCTGATTTCATATACATCTATATGTATTCTGGTTTCAACAGTTTTGATTGGTCAGGCACTCAGTTTGCTTAATTGGTGGGACAGATTTCTTTCACTAAAGCAGATGAGAGGGCTTGTAATTTTTCCCAGATAATATGTAATAGGCTCAGTTGTGCTGCACTGTGAAGATTCACAGCAGTAACTCCAGAATTAAGATTGACAGTTCCAATTAAAAGCCCAATTTGACACTCTCCACCTCATTTTTGCACACAGAGAGAAAATCTCCCCCAATTTTTTTCAGCTTGAAATTGTCCATCCTTAGGAGATCAGACTGGCTTTCTTTCAGAATTATCCTGAGTATAATAAGGCAACTGATTTTCAAGTTCTGATAAAATTAGTGGCTTTTCACTGTTTGACCTACTTTGACCTCAAGACTTCAAAATTGTTTTTACTTATTTATCCCAATTGAAAACTAGTGCAGTTTTAGTCTTTTGGAATTCACAAATCTTTAGTCACATGGTTCCCTGCCCCATGACCATTATAAACTCTCATGGAAGCCAATAGATCCAGGGTTGTCAAACTTCATTGCACTGCGACCCCCTTCTGCCAACAAAAATTACTACACAACCCTAGGAGGGGGAACTGAAGCATGAACCCACCTGATCCCCGCTGCTCTGGGTGGGGGGCCAAAGTCAAAGCCCCAGGCCTTCATCCCCGGGCATCGGGCCTGTAACCTGAGCTCTGCCACCCTGGGCTGAAGCCAAAGTCTGAGCCCAGGCAGTGGGGCTTGGGTCCTGGGTCCCAGCCAGTCTAACGCAAGTCCAGGTGACCCCATTAAAATGGAGTTGTGACCCACTTTGGGGTCCCGACCCACAGTTTGAGAACTGTTGCTATAGATATAAACTCCTTGGTATTGTAAACTCCATGAACTCTGTTTTGGAAGGGAGAGGCTCTTGCACATGAGAAGAGGTTTAGTGGGGTGAGAGTTTTGAGCATCAGAAGGGAAAGGGAGGGTCTGACTCAGGGGCCAAGATGAGGCTATAAGTGAGCTCTGAAGCACATATTGCAGGAGACATTGCTACAGAGCTTATAATATCCTGTCTATGGAGTTTATACAGACGTGGCATTTATAAATAGGTTACTCATGGACAAAACTTGTTTTTAAACTTAACTCCCCAGTAAAGTGAAGGGTCTGGACAAGTTTATAAACTCCACTTGTGCTCATGGTTTCTAAGCATCTGTGACTGACAACTAGTTTCAAGGAGACCATGCTATTTCACCAGAATAGTATTTGATTCCAGAACCATGCTTACTTGTGTTTCATTGAACAGCATAAATGTCTTTACTGTATAATTATAGTTATACTGATAGAGTCAGAAGATAAGTCTAAAGTGTTTTTATTTTCATAATTTTTAAAAAATACTTTCCTTAAATAGACCATGAAAAATCATAAACAAAACACCTTCTGAAGATTCAGTTATGATTGTTACAACATATCAATTGCTTTGATTAAAATCCTCATTGGAATATTGTAGTTATAAAAATTTCTTTTATAAAGAAAAACAGACCACAATTTTTAAAGATGAGTTCTTAAATACCCACTTGAGAGCATAAATGTGAGCATCTATTTTGCAAAATCTTAGCCTTGAAACAAAAGCAATTCTGAGTTAAGTTTAAATTTATGAAGAAACAAAAGTCTGCAAATTCTAAGTTAATGTCCACAAATAAACTTAATTCTTTCCCTTCCCTTCCCATGTCCTTGAATTCTATGTTCCAGAGACAGTCTTATATCCCTCCACCACTCTTTTCATATATTTCCTTTATGAAGCACATACTTTCCTGTGAGGGGGGACAAGAAGGGCTTAAAGGCCCAGTTAGTCATATTCACTTCACCTGGGCAGTAATTAGGTAGTTACTTGGCAGACAGAGAAGGGGGGAACAAGGAAGAATCAGATGATAACTCAGACACCTAGGCCTTATAAATAGGCTGAGAGAGTTCATCAGGGAAAGAAGCCACAGGGAGTAGACAGGAAGGCTGCTTCCTATGAAGGGTTGACGTGCCAGAGAACCTTGGGCTATGTCCACACCGCATCTGGATGCAAGCCTCCTAGCCTGGCTACACAGACTTGTGTTAGTAAGACTCGCATTAAAAATAGTAGATCTTGCTTTGAGGTTGTGGCTTGGGCTGAGCTCGGGCTCTCAAGTCTGTCTTTCCTCTCCGCCCCTCCCCACCCCGTGCTATCATTAACATAAGAACATAAAAATGGCCATACTGGGTCAGGCCAAAGTTCCACCCAGCCCAGTATCCTGTCTACCGACAGTGACCAATACCAGCTGTCCCAGAGAGAGTGAACCTAACAGGTAATGATCAAGTGATCTCTCTCCTGCCATCCATCTCCACCCTCTGACAAACAGAGGCTAGAGACACCATTCCTTACCCATCCTGGCTACTAGCCATTAATGGACTTAACCTCCCTGAATTTATCTAGTTCTCTTTTAAACCCTGTTATAGTCCTAGCCTTCACAACTTCCTCAGGCAAGGAGTTCCACAGGTTGACTGTGCGCTGTGTGAAGAAGAACTTCCTTTTATTTATTTTAAACCTGCTGCCCATTAATTTCATTTGGTGGCCCCTAGTTCTTATGGGAACAAGTAAATAACTTTTCCTTATTCACTTTCTCCACACCACTCATGATTTTATATACCTCTATCATATCCCCCCTTAGTCTCCTCTTTTCCAAGCTGAAAAGTCCTAGCCTCTTTAATCTCTCCTCATATGGGACCCATTCCAAACCCCTAATCATTTTAGTTGCCCTTCTCTGAACCTTTTCTAATGCCAGTATATCTTTTTTGAGATGAGGAGACCACATCTGTATGCAGTATTTAAGATGTGGGCGTACCATGGAATTACATAAGGGCAATAAGATCTTTTCCATCTTATTCTCTATCCCTTTTTGATTGATTCCTAACATCCTTTTTGCTTTTTTGACTGCCGCTGCACACTGTGTGGATGTCTTCAGAGAACTATCCAAAATGACTCCAAGGTCTCTTTCCTGATTAGTTGTAGCTAAATTAGCCCCGATCATACTGTATGTATAGTTGGGGTTATTTTTTCCAATGTGCATTACTTTACATTTATCCACATTAAATTTCATTTGCCATTTTGTTGCCCAATCACTTAGTTTTGTGAGATCTTTTTGAAGTTCTTCACAGTATGCTTTGGTCTTAACTATCTTGAGCAGCTTAGTATTGTCTGCAAACTTTGTCACCTCACTGTTTACCCCTTTCTCTAGATCATTATGAATAAGTTGAATAG